ATACTCTCAAAAGGATCTGTGATGCCAAAATAGAACAAGAGGCACTGTCCTGATTGGTTCAGCTAAGGTTTCTACTTCAGTTACTTACTTCATGTGGAAGACTGAAGAAAAGGCAAGAATACCCACTGGAAGTAGAGGGGAGGCCTGGCTGTCCCTACAAATATCCACAGAATAGCACAACCCTAAGGGTCCTTCAGAGATTTGTCTCTTGGCTTCACGGCTTCAAGGTCTGAATTGCGACCATTCAGAAGACTGACATCTTCCTGGGAGCAGCAGATTTTATAATGGAGAAGCCTTCTTGGTATGTAAGAAATCAAAATAAAAGAAGAGACCGGATGCGGTGGCTCACACCTGTAATCCCAACACTTTGGGAGGCTGAGGCGGGCGGATCACCTGAGGTCAGGAGTTCAAGACCAGCCTGGTCAACATATAGTGAAACCCCGTCTCTATTTAAAAATTACAAAAAATAGCTGGGTGTCGTGGTGCACGCCTGTAGTCCCAGCTACTTGGGAAGCTGAGACAGGAGAATCGCTTGAAGCTGGGAGGTGGAGGTTGGAGTGAGCCAAGATCGTGCCACTGCACTCCAGCTTGGGTGACAGAATGAGACTCCATCTCAAAAAAAAAAAAAAAAAAAAATGGGAAGAAAGTTCAGAATTTGCATGGTGGCCTAGGCTTTTACAATTGTGATAAGGATATATCTGCTTCATGTGGGACTCAGACACTAGAACTATGTCTTACCTGTGCTGTGCTTAAACAGGCTTTGCCAACACTACCTTAGGAGTCTCCTTTTCCTGGCCCCTAGGATTAACCAGTTTGAGGAATGGCCTTCCCTCCCTTCTCCTTTTCCTATTCTAGATACATTAAGGCATTCACTCATGATTTTTAAAGGGCTTTTTCTTAATAACCAAGTAGGAATATGTCCACCTTGATGATTTCTGTGTTAATTTCATGCATTAATAATGCTCAGAGGACTGCCTTATTTCCTGTTCCTTGGAAACTAACTCCTTAGAGCTTCCTTGCACACACACTTCTAAGAGACTTCGTAAGAACTTTTTTTGTGTTTAGCTTTTGCTGAGACGAGGGTGAAATTTAACAGAGCACACATAAAATTTCATCTAAAGCTGCCTGTCTGTTCACCCTGGCAAAACAGAGGTACAGAAAGGCTGTGAGGGAGTACATCATTCAGCCTTGAGGACTTGTTTGCATCTGCATTGCACAGTGGGGAATGAGAATGCCTACCAGTGAGCCATCTGACCAGTGACTAGAGTAGGTTATTTATTTATTTATTTATTTCAGACAGAGTTTCACTCTTGTTGCCCAGGCTGGAGTACAATGGGGCGATCTCGGCTCACTGCAACTCCACCTCCTAGGTTCAAGCGATTCTTCTGCCTCAGCCTCTGGAGTAGCTGGGATTATAGGCACCTGCCACCATGCCCAGCTAATTTTTTTGTATTTTTAGTAGAGACAGGGTTTCACATGTTGGACAGGCTGATCTCGAACTCCTGACCTTCTGATCGACCTGCCTCGGCCTCCCAAATTGCTGGGATTACAGGCATGAGTCACCTCACCTGGCCAATGTCTAGAGTAGGTTATTATTTATTTAGCACCTACTATATGTTCCAGGCACTGTGTTGGGGATGGAAAGACAAATAAGATCTATGCCCCATAGGGACCGTAATGTGAACAAATGGAGCATATTGTGCTAAGTGTTATGGTGGAGGTAAGATTAAGATGACTTGGGAGGACTGTGTGTTGGGGGAAGGGAAAGAGACAAGGATGGAAAAGAGTAGGTGTTTTCCAGGACAAGGTAGGGAACACAATGAGTTCAGGAACTACAGTCTCCTATGCCTGGAGCCTGGAGTGTGTGAGAGAAAGGAGCGAGATGAACCCAAAGAGGAAGGTATGTGTTGCTGAGAAGTCAGTAGTAATTTATCTGTAGGTGGTAGGGAACATGGGCATTAGTTTCCTGCAGCTGCTGTTACATATCACAAATTTGGTGGCAACAAAAATGGATTCTCCCGCAGTTCTGGAGGCCAGAAATGCTGACAACAAGCTATTGACAGGACTCTGCTCCCTCTGGAGGCCCTAGGGGAGAATACTTTCCTTGCCTCTTCCAGCTTCTAGTGGCTACTGGCATTCCTTGGCTTGTGGCTGCGTCACTCCCATCTCTGCCTCTGTGGTCACAGTGCCTTCTCCTCTTCTGCCTGTGTCAAATCTCCCTCTGCCTCCCTCTTATAAGGATATACATGATTGCATTTATGGCTCACCTGGATAAATGTGCATAATCGATTTTACGATCCTTAATTACCTGCACAAAATACCACCCCCACTCCACTTTTTGCAATCTAAGGTAACATGTACACGTTCCAGAGATTAGGACATGGATATCTTTTTTTTTTTTTTTTTTGAGACAGAGTCTTGCTCTGTCACCCAGGCTGGAGTACAGTGGCATGATCTCGGCTCACTGCAAGCTCTGCCTCCGGGGTTCACGCCATTCTCCTGTTTCAGCCTCCCAAGTAGCTGGGACTACAGGTGCCTGCCACCATGCCTGGCTAATATTTTTGTATTTTTAGTAGAGATGGGGTTTCACTGTGTTAGCCAGGATGGTCTCGATCTCCTGACCTCGTGATCTGCCCGCCTTGGCCTCCCAAAGTGCTGGGATTACAAGTGTGAGCCACAGCGCCCGGCTAGGACATGGATATCTTTTGGGGAACATTTTTCAGTTTATCACACTGTGTGAGATGTTAAGCAGGGCAACAAATGAGTCAGACTTATGTTTACAAAGATCCTTCAAAGGATGGTGTGGCACAGTCAGAAAAAACCTTCTGATGACATTTATTAAACCTTCCTCATTCTTCTGTGTTTAATGACTACTTAGTATTCTTGTGAATGAATGTACCATAATTTATTCAAGCACATCCCTCATTCATGAACTTTCAAGTTGTTTCCAAGTTTTTTTTTTTTTTTTTTTTTTTTTTTTTTACAAACAATGCTACAATGAATCCCCTTGTAATGGGCCAATTGCACAATGTGCAAATATACCTGAAGGTAAATCAGGAGCCCATATTCCGGGTTCAGACTCAGATACATTGGGGAAAGATAAGAGTGGATGCCTGTTACATTTTACAATAGATAATATTAATGGATTGTGAAATATATACTGAGCACTGTTCTAAGCATTTGTGAAATGGCTTTATTGCAACAGAATTCATATGCCATACAATTAACTCAAAGCATGCAATTCAATGGTTTTTAGTATGTTCAGAGTTGTGTATGCAACCATTACCACTGTCTAATTCCAGAACATTTAAATCACCCCATTAGTCTCTTATTACCATTTCCCCTCCTCCATCCCTAGGCAACCATTAGTCTACTTTCTGTTTCTATGGGTTTGCCTATTCTGGATATTTCCTATAAATGAAATCATACAGTATATGGTCTATTGTGTCTCGCTTCTGTGAAAGGGAAATATCTTGGGCTCCCCCAAATTACTAAAGGGAAAATTCAAGCTCGGAACTGCTTAGAACAAACCTGCCTCTCATTCTATTCAAAGTTATCCCTGTGTTCATGGAGATAAATGCATATCTGATTGCCTCCTTTGGAAAGGCTAATCAAAAACTCAAAAGAGTGCAACCATTTGTCTCTCACCTATCTGTGACCTGGAAGCTCCCTCCCCGCTTGAGTCTTCCTGCCTTTGCTTCGAGTTGTCCCGCCTTTCCAGACAAAACCAATGTACTTCTTACATATATTGATTGGTGCCTCATGTCTCCCTAAAATGTATAAAACCAAGCTGTGCCCCAACCACCTTGGGCACATGTCATCAGGACTTCCTGAGGCTATGTCACAGGTGCTGGTCCTCAACTTTGGCAAAATAAACTTCCTAGTTAACTGAGACCTGTCTCAAATTTTGGGGGTCCACACTTCTTTCACTTAATACAATGTTTTCGAGGTGCATCCACGTTGTAGCATGTGTCAGTACTCCATTCCTTTTTATTGCATGGGTATGTCACATTTTATTTACCATTAATAAGTTGATGGTCATTTGGATTGTTTCCACGCTGTTGCCCAGGCTAGAGTGCAGTAGCTTACTGCACTGACATCGTGGCATACTGCAGCCTTGACCTCCTGAGAACAAGCCATTCTTCCTCCTCAGCCTGGCAAGTAGCTTGGCTTACAGGTGCCCGCCAGCATGCCTGGCTAAGTTTTAAAAATGTTTTTGCAGAGACGAGGTATCCCTATGTTGCCCAGGCTGGTCTGGAACTCCTGCGCTCAAGCCATCTTCCCAAAGTGCTGGGAATACAGACATAAGCCACCATGCCCAGTCTATTTTTAGTTTTTTTGAGGTCAGTAAAACAAACTATTGTACAAACACAAAACAAAACAATTTAACAATCTATTGTTCCTTTCCACATTCCTTCAGTCACTTTTTTTTTTTTTTTTTTTAATGAGACAGAGTCTCGCTCTGTTGCCCAGGCTGGAGTGCAGTATCCTGGTCACAGTTCACTATAGCCTGGAACTCCTTGGCTCAAGTGAGCCTCCTGCCTCAGCCTCCGGAGTAGTTGGGCTTACAGGCATGCCCCACCACACCAGGTTAAGGCCTTGAGTAATTAAAAAAAAAAATCTTTCCCTGTGTAGGCACGATCGCGATATGGATGAAACACAGCCTTTGTTCCCCTCTGCACAAGGCTTCTTCCCCGTCTTTGTTTCTCCAAAGCCTTGCACGTGGTAGGTGCTCAGCATTTGTTGACTGGATCAAGTAGGGCGAGGCAGCGCAGCCCGTTCGGGTTTGAAACTGCTCCGGATGCCCCATTAATGTTTGGCAGCGCCTGGTGACTTCAATCCCAGCCCCTCCGGCCCGACCCGCCTCCCGGGACAAAAACACGAGGGCGAAGGCCGGCGCGGGCGCGCGGGGCATGCCGGGCGCCCCCAGGTGGGCAGGTGCCTGGGCGGGGCGCGCCGCGGTTGGCGCCTGGGTGGCGGGGCGGCTGCCTAGTACCCGGAAGAGCCGTCAACTTCGCGAGGCGCAACAGGCTGCTGCAGAGGGGCTGGAGCCGGTGGGTACTGGGCCGCAATGGACAAGCTGAAGAAGGTGCTGAGCGGGCAGGACACGGAAGACCGGAGCGGCCTGTCCGAGGTGAGTGAGCCCGGGGCCCTCGGCCCCCTCTCGCCGCGCTCCCGCGCTGCGTCCCCGGCCCGGGCCTGGTAAGCCTGCGGGGACTCCCTGGAGTTTCTGGACTGTAGCTCTGCCCCTTCTCCTCCTCTTCTGTAGGGCTCTGCGAGGAGCCCTGGCACTGCACGGGGCAGTCGGCCGCGGCGTTCTTTTCTGCCCCGCGCCCCTTCAGCCCATTCTCCCTGACAGGGGGCGGCGCAGGAGGAAATCCCTGGACCGAGCTGCGAGTGGGAGGGCGGGCGACTGGGCTGTCGGCCCCGGCCGGGAAATGCGCTTTAGGGCCGGGTAGGGCTGGGGGCCCCGAAGTCCTGGCGGAAGGAGCCCTCGCTGGCTGGGTCGGGGCGCCAGACCCGGGCTGGCATGTTGGGGTGGCGGTCCCCACCTCGCGACGGGGCTGGTGGCCGCGCCGCGAGCTCTGTCTTGGTTTTCTGTCCGGTTTAGGTTATAGGGTGTGACACTCCCTATACACTCCCTGTACACATTGCCTTGTGATTGAGGGGGAGAAGCTGCCCCCCATCCCATGAGGACAGGGACCACATCCTGTGTCTCTGTGTCCACAGTGCCCACACCTAGACTCTAGACACCCAGCGCCTCAGGAGACTGCCTGCGTGTTGGTTTGTTTTATTAGAAAAGCTTTTTTTTTTTTTTTTTCCCCCCTGAGACAGAGTCTCTCTCTCTCGTCCAGGCTGGAGTGCAGTGGTGCTATCTCGGCTCACTGCAGCCTCCGCCTCCTGGGTTCAATCGATTCTTCCACCTCAGCCTCCCAAGTAACTGGGATTACAGACACCCGCCACCAAACCCGGCTTATTTTTGTGTTTTTATTAGATACGTGGTTTCACCATCTGCGCCAGGCTGTTCTCGAACTCCTGACCTCAAGTGATCCGTCCACCTCTGCCTCCCAAAGTGCTGGAATTACAGGCGTGAGCCACCGCGCCCGGCCTATTAGAAAAGTTTTAATCGTGCTGAAACCTGGCTACTAATGTCCTATGTTGTAGAACCACACAGAATGCTGCATTTCTATTTGGGGTGCTTTTAGCTTTTGTTTTCCTTTTTGGATGACAAAATAACGTTTCTCTTCACTTTTTGGTGTATTCTTTAGCCTCTGTTCCTCATCTGTGAAATGAGGATGTTAAGATGATATGGCTAACTGGAAACTAATCGGTGTTTCTTCTGGTTTCTCAGCAAGGTCTTCTTTCTCAGCAGGCTGCTTTCATCCACGTTTGTGGTTGCTGATTTTATTTGGTTTTGTTTTGTGTGATACTGGGACTCACACTTTCTGCATGACATCTCAGAATGCAAAACTTGCCCTCTTAATCTTCACCTTGAGGGAGTAACTCTATGGGATCGAATGTTTGAGGCATTGAAATTTAACTTTTTGACATTTCAAAACTAGTTGGTGGGTTCTTTTTAATTTGTTGCCTTTATTAATTGGTCAAGGCTCAGGAGTAATTTCACGGGTTCTTTTTTTTTTTTTATTTCTAGCTTCTATTATGAATCTCAAGTGGAATCTCAGACCAGGCCTAAGAAAGGTCTGACTCGTAGGTAGCTGACCCTCGTTATTTAAAGCTTTATTTCCATTGACTGTCAACAAGCCTTTATGAACAGTTGGTGCTTAAGAGGGAGACACTTTATCTCCCTGCAAACTCTTGGGGGGTGGAGTGTTGACAGTGGGATGATGCAGATATTATTGTCTCGAAAATCATCACGAAGCAGTGGGCTGACCCTCAACAGTGGACGTCTAGTAAAGTTTGCAAACATAAATGCTGAGCTTATTTTTAACCTAAAACGGTGAATGTCTGTATTGGATACTGTGAGAAGGGCTTTAATGTGTTACGCTGAGGCATCTGTTGGATCTAATTTCAAAAGAATAGGTGCTTCATTCTTTGATCAGTTTCCTCTTTCTGAGTGAGATTCTGTTTATAACATCATTGTATGGCACTTCCCGAGTCTTGAATTCCTGGGAAATGTTTTGTTGCCAACTGACTTCATCTTCCAGGCTGTTTCAGCTTAGTATTTACTGATTAGGTCGAGCTTCCTTTAAAATATTAGTACTGATTTAATTGTCTCATATTTTTCATGGTTTGGGGGCTGGTAGAACTGGAGGATTCCGTGGGGAAATTGCTGTTTTGTGTGGTAAGTTGAATTAGGCATTCTTAAAATCTCTTTAAGAGGTCACTAGAAGAGAGTGCTTTTTAAAACTTTTATTCCTTTAATGGAAACCATAAAGGTATGACTAGTTCTATTTCTCCTACCTCTCTTAGGTAGTTATAAAATTTGCATGGCAGTATCTAATTATAGCCCATGATGAATTTTGTGATGGATACCTCATCTTCATAAGTACACCTTAAGTCTGTAGTTTCAATGGCCTTCTTTCTGAAAGTATAGGTTTTATGTTTTTTTAATAAACGATTCTGGGGACAAGAAAGGTATGAGTAGTATCTGATTTTAAAGTGTGGAAATGAAGCAGTATTCCTTTCTCACCTTCTGGCTACCAATCCTGTTTTTCTGAAAAATTCTTAGTATTACTTCTTCTTGGCAAGAGCCTCTCTTCTCTCCACATCGCAGAGTGAAAGGGACCTTTGTGAATAGCTGCCAGTCAGTCAGACTGCCCGGGAGCGCATTCCCTACACGTTCTATCCAGGTACCATTTTAGCTACTCTAATTTCCAAAAACAATATGCTAGCACAGCTTCCAGCAGTCATGAATTTACAGACATTTTATGAGTTTGTTTTCATAATTTGGCCGAAAGAAGTGTTTTGCTTTCACTGAGTCCAGTTAGAAGAAGTGGAACAACAGCTTCCTCCTTCCCTGACCGAGTGTGCATGTAAAAGAACTTGCAAGCACATGTAATGGAAAAATACAGTGGTGAAATATGCCCCCCACCCTTCCATTTTGGCAAACAGTAACATTTGGATGGATTCAGCTTGAGAGACTTGAATATGGAGTGTCACTTTCCTTTCTGAAGGTAGAAACCAGAAACACATTCTTGGCTGAACTGCTTCCTATTGTCAGTTATTTTGATTTTTATGAGGGCTGGAATCTCACTGTTCTGTTGAGGTTATTTAGCAATCTAGATGTCAAAGCCAATTCAGATTTCATTCTTAACCTTATGGTTTATCCTCTTAAAATAGAAAGGTTGAATCTTTTAAAATATCCCTGTTGATGACATGTAGTGCTCAGGGAACCATCCAGTTCAATCTTTCTACCACTCTTCTTGCTGCAGACAAGCCAGTCCAATCCTACTACCATGCTTCTTCCTATGAACAAGCCAGGACAATCCTACTACCGCTCTTCTTCCTACAGACAAGCCAGGCCAATCCCACTGTGCTTTTCTTTCTGTGAACAAGCCAGGCCAATCCCACTACCACTCTTCTTCCTATGAACAAGCCAGGCCAATTTTTCTTCCCACCTGCAGCTAGTTCTTTTCTCGCCTTGGCAAGGTAAGTTCTTTGGTTCTTGCATGAGTAGGAAGAGTGGTACCTTCTCATTTTAGGTACCACTCAAATGAGACTGGTGGGAGGTTAAATGCTTTAGTCAGAAGTAGCCTGACTAGCTTGTCTGGGGCCTTGTAAAGCCTGCTACCAGAGCATCATCACATGGCTCATTTTGGAGTCCCAGGGGGTTTGGGAAATCAGACTCCTCCAGGAGAGGTTTACCTCAGCGTAAAACCAGGTGGCTCATCTGACAGGTCATAACACTGGGCCCCTGCTACCTGTTATCATCCCTAATTTGTGCCTTCTGTGCAGAGTCATGGGCTCAGTTGCAATATGTATGAATGTATAACCTGACCTAAATACCTTTCTCCTGAGTGGAGATTAAGGTAGTCTTTGGCAATACGTGCCACACCTGAGGGGAGCCTCTCATCGTTCTTTTCAAGCTTCTGGTTTGACAGGAACTCTGGAGACATGGTTGAAAACAGATCCCTGAGCTGGGGGTAGTCAAGGCTGAGGGAGTTGCCAGTCTAATGACTCTTGACTGTCTGCCACTATCTACCTTCTTCCATCAGCCCGGTGGAAATATGGTAGGGAACTTTGACCACATTGCTAGATGGAGACCATGCTGGCCATACAAGGTGAGCCCTGTGTGAATATACATGGCCTAGCTGCCCTGTGTGGTGGTGGTCCCTCACTGGCAGCTGTCTTTGTCCAGCTTGGAACAACTGTTCCCACTTGCATCAGGTGGACAGACGAGCAGGGTCACCAGTGCAGAGACTTTGTTGTCATCTTTTTTCAAGACAACAAGAGTTATATTCTTGTTGCCCAGGCTGGAGTACAATGTACAACCTCGGCTCACTGCAACCTCCACCTCCCAGGTTCAAGCAATTCTTCTGCCTCAGCCTCCCAAGTAGCTGGGATTACAGGCAGGTACCACCACACCTGGCTAATTGTTTGTATTTTTAGTAGAGACAAGGTTTCACCATGTTGGTCAGGCTGGTCTCAAACTCCTGACCTCAGGTGATGCGCCCACCTTGGCCTCCCAAAGTGCTGGGATTACAGGCATGAGCCACTGTGCCCAGCTGTTGTCATTTTTGACATGGGAAAAGAACCGTTGGGAGCTACTCACAGGCTCTCCTATTTCAATAGTGTTTTTGGAACTCCTGGCTTCTCCTGAACTTTGCTCCAGGGAGGGATTAATCATGATGGCAAAGAATCAGGATGAGCAGGACAGTCATTAATTAACCAGGATCTGTTTCGCACTTGGATGAGTTGACTGATGCCGGCACCCTGTAAGTACAACATCTGAACCAAGAGTAAATAATGCGGGTGAGAGTTGATGTAGGAGAGGATGACCAGTGGAGCAGCTGCTTGAGTGCCGTCCCCTCATCTTTTCCTTATTTCCTGGGACCCTGCCTGGTGGAGGGTCCCAGGTGGACTCATGCCTTTCCAGGTGTGGTCCTCATCCTGCGTGGGTTGTGGGAAGGCTCTGGGCTACTCTAGGATTGGCTGTCTTGCCTTCCTGTTCATGAAATGGGTTGTGCTCGAGGCAAAGAGTTTCTGCCTCTGAAGATGTTCAGCGGGAGGCACAGCTGTCAGCTGCTGGAGAGGAGATTCATATCTGCGTCGTAACTTTACAGCTCTAATAAAGTCTAGATTCGATGACTCCCATCGCCTGAGTGTGTAGGATTCTGTGCTCCTTGCCTTCCCTAGTACAATTTAACACTTTCTAGATTTAATTAGGTACTTGCTTTGTTTTTAGTAAATGTGTGTGTATATGTATTTTTTTTTTTTCAATTTTAGGTTGTTGAGGCATCTTCATTAAGCTGGGGGACCAGGATAAAAGGCTTCATTGCGTGTTTTGCTATAGGAATTCTCTGCTCACTGCTGGTAAGATTTCCCTCCCTCCTCTGTCTTTTCCTCCTACCCGTCTTTGCTATATATTCCCCCTTTTGTCCACCTCCTTTCCCCTTTTGCCCTTCACTAAAATGCATGGATGAGAGGAGAGGGGAATAAGGGAGGTGGGGAGGGAAACGGCCTCCTCAGGGCTTCCTCTGTGAGCTCTGCTTGTGTGGCCAGGTGGGAGGGGTTGCTCATGTGCAAACGCTGTGCTTTAAATTCTAGGGTACTCTTCTGCTGTGGGTGCCCAGGAAGGGATTACACCTCTTCGCAGTGTTTTATACCTTTGGTAATATCGCATCAATTGGGAGGTAACTTTTTTTAAAATCCAATCTTAGCTAATCATTAGATGGGAAAATGGATTTTGGTTGCCCTTGAGCGAGGTGAAAGAAGAGGCTCTAGTAGTTGTAAGGGATTTGGAGAGAAATAGTTAGATTATCTCACATTCATATCTTATTATTTGAAAGCATTTTATATCTTAGTTTGAAACACCTGGAAGAAAGCAGCAACTGTGTTGCCATTGTGATTTTACATGTTCAGGAACTGCAGCACAGAGCAGTTCAGTGATTTCTCCAGGGTTTACAACCCAGTCCTCCTGCTTGCTGTATTCTTATTGCTGTCAGAGATTGAGTTGATGGTTTTCAAAGGGCTCATCACTCCAGTGGCCATAAGGGAAACTCGTTTTTATTAAGTGTCAGACCTTCCCAGACCTGAGTAGCAGCTCATGTGGGCAGGGCATCTGAGTGCTTCCTGGAGGTGGGCAGCCCATTCTGCATGTTGTGAATGCACAGACTTTCCAGGTCAAGCTTTCACACTGATGCTTCAATCACACTGGTGCTAACAACTCCACCTTCCCCAACTGGGAGCACTGGCCTGGCCTCTACCTGAATGACCTGCAGGAACCTGAACTCAGGCATCTTTTTTTCCCCTTTTCCCTGCCCTTGTGTCTCTGTAAATGGCTTCAGAGTCCTGGGGGTCCAAGTCTCCCCTCCATGATTGCTCACCAGGGCTTGATGTATCCCTGTCTTACTGGCTCCTTCCTCTGTGTCCCCATGGCTGTTTGTGCTTCACTGACTGACTTGTATGCTCAGTGGGTAAGCATTGATCACACTCTGTGCTGGGCTCAAAGGATACAAAGACAAGTCCAGTTTGGTCCCTGCCAGGCAGACATATAACTCATGATAAAACAAGATATGGAAAGAGATGCTCAAGGAGGGGCAGCTGACATGACCTGAGTCACGGAGGGCTTCCTAGAGAAGGTGATATCTGAGCTCGTCTTAGCTTTGTCCTGTATCACCCTTACCTGAACAAGATGCCTCTGCTGGGTCTGTCTGTCTCCTCCATTGCCCCTCTCCAGGCCATTTTCCACTGAGCTGTAGAGCCATTCATTTATAACCCTACTTAGCCCCCTCAAGTGGCTCCCTGTTTTGTCTCTACAGATGAAGTCCAAATTCCTCAACATGCATACAGTTAAGCCTCTTTGAGATCTGGCTTCGCCGTTGTCCCATTCCCTACCCAGTGTGCTTCCCAGCCAGGCTGAACTTGCATTTCCCAAAATGTCGTTGTGCCCTTGTTAGGTTGTTTTCTCCTTCTGGAATGCTGCCCTATCTTAGCTGCCCTGGTTTGGTAGATACTTGCTCATTTGTTAAGACCTGGCTCAAAAGCCACCTCTTCTATGAAGCTTTTCCTGATTACCTCCTCCTCTCCAGAATTGATGACCTCTTCCTTTGGGCTCTCAGTATTCCATCTATATTTATGTGCCAGTGCAGGTAGCATTTTACTACCCTGACTTGTTAGGTCTGTAAGCCACTTGATAAGGGCTGCACATGTATCTTATTTGTCCCCAGTTGTACCCAAACTTAGCTCTGAGTCTGGCTGGAAATGGGGGATGTTAATTAAATGATTGAGTGCATGATTCTGGCCACCTGCTTACAGCTTAATTTATTAGTGCTTATGACAGTAAAATGCTGACCCTTAGAGATGTCTTTTGTTGCCTCTAAAGCTTTCTCCAATACTAACTTTTGGTGGGGGGTTGTTTTGGGCAGACAGTATAAGTTGCAATATATAGTCTAGACTGAGCATAAATATATGGGTGTGTTGCTTAGTCCAGAAGAGCTCTTTAGCAAATCCCTATGGGCTGGATTCTTCATAGCACTGTGTAGGCAAATAATAAAGGGAGCAAATTGTTATTTTCAGGGTATTTGGGAGTTTGTGTCTTTGCCTATAGTCTGTTACAGTTTTGTGTATATGCTGTGTTTAATTTTTAGGACCAGCCTTGACTGTTGCTTCTTATTCAGTGTAGGTTAAAGAAGTGTTCTTTTAGTTGGAGCACTTGAGAGTGAAGCCTTGCAACTTAATGGCACTTCAAAGAGAGGAAGACTTATTGGCTGAATGTGGTGGCTCACGCCAAGTTGATGTGTTAGACATGACAGTCTGCTTCATTTGTGATTACTCTTGCTAGCAATCTCTCATTCATACAGAAAGCATGCTGGGGACCAGGCGCAGTGGCTCACGCCTATAATCCCAACACTTTGGGAGGCCGAGGTGGGCGGATCAGGAGGTCAGGAGTTTGAGACCATCCTGGCCAACATGGTGAAACCCTGTCTCTACTAAAAATACAAAAATTAGCTGGATGTGGTGGCGTGTGCCTGTAGTCCCAGCTACTCTGGAGGCTGAGGCAGGAGAATCACTTGAACCCGGGAGGCGGAGGTTGCAGTGAGCCGAGATCACATCACTGCACTCCAGCCTGGCGACAGAGCGAGACTCCATCTCAAAACAAACAAACAAACAAAAAACCCAAGCATGCTGGGAATGTCTTTTTAGAGCTTTGGAATCCAATAGCTATAGAGTCAAATACCAGCTCTTTGGTAGCTGTATGATTTTCTCATCTCTAAAATAAGTGTAATACATAACTTACAAAATTGTTGAGAAGAAATGAGGTAATATATGTAATATCTGGCATTTAGCAAACATTCAACAAATAACCCATGATGATATCATCATCATTAGAATTATTCACTGAAGATTATGAAAGAAAATGAAATGCTCTACTTTTTAACATAACCTACCTAAGCCTGTAAGGTATGGTTTTTCGTTAAACTTCCTGAGCCTTGTTTGTTTCCATGAGTAGGTATCGTCAGGGAGGCAAGGTAGCACCTCTCAAGGAGAAGGCTTATCTAACCTAGTGGTATGATATGGTTCTACAGTCACACCCGCATGCATTTACAGCCTGGGTCTATCATTCCCTAGTTGGGTGGCCTTGGATAAAGTAACTCTGTGGGCTCTGTGTGGTAATTGTTTCCACTTTATGGGTTGGTTGTTGATGAATTAAATGAGAATAATGTACAAAAGGCCCTTCAGCACAGTGCCTTCCACAGAATAAGAGCTTTTCAAATGTTAGCTACTGTTGCCACAGGAAATCTTGGGGAGGCGACTCGGTGTGCCCAGTGCAGTTCTGTTCTGAAAGGCTTGTGTGGGTGTGTTTGCCTTTTAGTACCATCTTCCTCATGGGACCAGTGAAACAGCTGAAGCGAATGTTTGAGCCTACACGTTTGATTGCAACTATCATGGTGCTGGTAAGGTCTGCTTTTTAGCTGGACTTTTCAAATGGGAGTTTTTATTTCTGTTGTATAAGATTTTTTTCCTTTTAAACCTAAGGACCTCTTCTCTTTTTCCGTTCAGCTTGACTTATTACCTTATTCCTATAACCATGTGGCTGAAGGGAACACTCTACCTAATGCCACGATCCCCTCCTCCCCTACTTTGTGTTTCAATGGGTGTCAAGGTGCTACCAGTTCTGAAAAGCACCTCTAGAGGGCATTGCTTGTCAGATTAGCCAGAGTGGTATGGTGGTAGTAAGGGAGCTCAGACACCTTCCCGGTGACTGTTGAAGCCACACACAGGCAGGGCTTAGAGGGAATAACTCAGAAACACGGGACTCATTCTCTAGGGTGGGTGTCCTGCCTTATAGGATGGCCTCTTTATTCCTCATTGTCTGACTTGCGGACTTACTACTGTTTTTCGTCAGTCTCCCCAAAGTGGGAATGGCCTCCATATGGCCTGTCATCCTTGTACCCTGCTCTGACAACATTGTCTTCAGCTTTGTTATAGCTTCCTGTCCCATTGACCCCAAATGCCTCTCATTTTTGGCCTATTTTCTTCCCTGTGGTTGTCAAACTCATCCCATACCTGCACTCTCTTTACTTTTATAACTATTACAACATTTGGAACTTGATGAACATACTTTTATTTTTAGTTTCATTTGTGTAATCTCATTTGTTCAAATAGGTGAGTTCTCGAAAGCTGTGACCACATTTACTATTTATTTTGTGTCCTTTTAGAGTATTGGGCACGATGCTGGGCACACAGAGAATGTTTAGGACATATTTGAGTAGTTACTGTTATAGAAGGATGGCGAGGAAAGGCATGGCTAACTGCTCTAGCACCAGTTGTCCTTGGCCAGCCTCTGATGTCCACGGCCTGGACAAGTCTCCTGTAGGAAAAGCTTTCTAAGAATGGCCTTAGGGAAAGTGTTAGGTGATAGGTAAACAAATAACTGGCATGCTGACTGTGAGATTGATATCTCATGTTAACCTTTGTCCTTGCATGTGCTTTCTGCTGCAGAGACTTGCATTCAGTAGGAGTTAAAATAGATTTGTGTTAAGCTTTCTTTAGTGCATTCGAATGAAAAGATGGATGGACAGATGAATGGGTGGGCCTGAAATGTGATTTGTTTGCTGGGCAGAGGTTCTGGGAAAACTTGAAAGTAAAAGAACGTCTTTCTCTTTTTAAGCTATGTGAATCTTTATTGGCTAGTTTGATTTCATGGAGATTTTTAACTGTTCTGCCAAACATGGGTACTCAGGTGGGTTAACTGCTTTGAGATGAAGGATGCATAAGTATTGTGCGTTTGTCAAGAATAACAAGTTTTGAGTTTTTTTTTTTTCTGCCATGTTATTGTCATTAATTAATGTTTCCTTTCTCCCTTTAGTTGTGTTTTGCACTTACCCTGTGTTCTGCCTTTTGGGTAAATGTATATTTTAATTTTTCTTAACCATTTTGGCTTTTGCCCCTTGTCTCACACTCTCCTATAACCATATTATTATTTTTCCAGTGGCATAACAAGGGACTTGCACTTATCTTCTGCATTTTGCAGTCTTTGGCACTGACGTGGTAAGTAACCTTTTAAACAGTCCCCTCCCACATAGCCCACTGACTAATGTAGCCGAAGGAGATAAAACTCACATATTGTGGGTGGGAGAATTAAGAAAACACAGAAGCTCTTTAATTTAAGGATTCTCATTGATGAAAGTGAAGTCAGGCTCCAGAGCAAATGCCCATCAACCCAGCCCACTGCCAATAGATGGCATTAGTGGTCTTGAGTGGTCACAGGAGGCTGCTTGCCTGCTGTGGCATTTTTGCTGAACTAATGGTTGATTTTTGAGATGTTACAAATACTATTAAACCACTCATGTCCGGTAAGTGCAAGGACAATAAAAGTATTATAAGGGATGTTAAAAAGGCTTGTGAGTCCAATAGAGGTTAACAAAAAAGGAAAGTGGTAAGAAAAATAATGAGTGTTACATTTGTGATAGAATGAATCATTTAACAGAAGGACAAAGAGTGAATTGTCAGCAGGAGATGAGGAACAGTCACTGACGAAATGGAAAAACGTGTGTCTGTGGGCTGTAAGATCTGCGTATGTGCTTAGAGGCCTGTTGACTTTTGGTAATTCAGCTGAAGAGCAGGAAATTGTAACTCCAGAGCCAAGCATAGTAAAAGGGACGCTGGAGACATTTTATGAAACCATGAATGGGGCTGTAGGTTCTTGGTCCTTTCAAGCCTATACGACATCAGAGTGAGGGGGTGGTGGCACATGTGGAATCTATAGGTTCCAAGACATTCCTGTAGTTCTTTCAAAGTGTATCAAGGGTGGTATCTGCCAGTTTGAATATAGATGTGACTCACCTATTTTTGAAAAAAATGTTTGCTACAATGCAAAGAAAACAGGATTCTGGACATTTTAAAGTTCCCAACAATTGGTTTAACTCCTGTTTGGTAGAAATGAATCTTGAGACTATAAGCGTAACTCCCATCCCTCCCTTTAGCAATTTTGGACTTTTGAATAAATATAGTTTCAAATTGCCTTTTGGAATTTACTGTGTTGACAAGTAATTGAGCTTCTGTACATGGTAAGTATAAGATATGGAGAAGGATGGTGGTGTTTGTATGTGTGTGTGTGTGTGTGTGTTTAAATGCACATTTGAGTGGTAGACTGTTTATATTTTGATTTTCTTCTAGGGCAGAAATTGGTACCCATATACACACACCTTGCTTTGCTTATAGACTGATTTTGAATCCAGTTTCAGAGGTTCAGCATTCATATGGGTTCAGCTGAATGGTGATATTCCCTTCAACACTGACATGTTCTGACTGTGTTTGCTTTTCTAAGGGCTGACCAGCTTACAACCTGCCTGACACACAGTGCCTGGTTCTTTAGAGTTCTGGAGCCTCTTCCTTATATACGGTTCCCTTCTAAGCAACAGGGTTGAGCTAACTGGGATTTACCAAGATACCTTTGGACATACTACATTTTCACCCATAGAGTAGTTGGTAGCATTTTTTTTTCTTCTTTTATTCTCTTTTCTCTTCTTTTAAAATTAATAGGAGCGGAGCAGAAAATTTATCCCAGTTGGGTAGAAGTTAAATTCTGTTTAGAATTTATAAAATGTTAGGAGTTCAACTGTGCCAGGTATGGGTGGCTCACACTGTAATGCCAAGACTTTGGGAGGCTGAGGTGGGAGGATTGCTTGAAGCCAGGAGTTTGAGACTAGCCTGGACAGCATAGCAAGACCTGGTCTCTGCAAAAAAAAAAAAAAAAAAAAAAATTAGCTGGGCATGGTGGCACATACTTGTAGTCCCAGCAGTTCTGGAGACTGAGGCAGGGGGATTGCTTGAGCCTCCTAAGCTTGAGCCTAGGAATTCAAGGCTGCAGTGAGGTGTGATTGAGCCACTATATTCCAGCAGCCTAGGTGACAGAGCACGACTCTGTCTCAAAAAAAAGGGGGCAGTTCAACTATTCTGGGTTTTATTTGATACTTTTTCAGAATAGAGTTTCTGTGTCATCCGGGTATCTGAAATCTGACTGTTGTAGGTGATTGCTGCTAGCTCAGGGTTATAGCAGTACTGCAGTGAGGCTGAGGTCATAGGGGTTATCGCCACATGAACCTTTTGCCCTTCTTCTGTGGCTGCCTGTCTGTACATGGCCATAGTGTGTGTGTTTGGGTACACATACATGCACATATGTGGGCCTTTGTGTGCACATGCTCACCCCCTAGGCTGAGGATGGGAGAGGGTCTGGATCAATCAATGCAGGTACTCTTAAAGCTCAGAAGCCCATTCTGCTGGATAATCTGCTACTTCCTTCATCTCATTTGACCCTTTGTTTTGTTTTTCATTATAGGTATAGCCTTTCCTTCATACCATTTGCAAGGTAAGACTCTGTATTTGGAAATATGATTTCTGTCATTCATTTTAATTTAGAGTCTGCTTTCAGAGAGTACATCCTATTTTATTTATCTTTACTGAAGTCTTTTGAGCCAAGTAGACAAATAGTGTACATCTCATTTAAGTAAGTTAAAGGTCACTCCACCACCCACTCTAATTATACAACTAATGATGGATATTTACCCAGGTACATCAATTTCTGATGCTGTGAACATTCTACTCATATATGGTGCATATATGCACATTGTTACTCTTTTAACCTGTAGCTTTGAGTAGGGTTTTTTTTTTTTTTAAAATAAAGGTGAATGTCATTTAATATCACTGAGTAAGATATGGAGGGATCTCAATTCGTGCTTCTTGCAGTATCCCACTGCTAGAAAAGTTTCACAAGAGTTTATAAATGGAGAGTAAGCAGTACCAGGGCTTCCTAACTAGCAGTGTGACCTCGAGCAGCTCTCTTGACCCCTCTGGCCTCAAAGCATTGATAAGTAGACTGAGTTGGTCTAGATCATCTCCAGAGGCCTCTTTTTGCTCTGAAATTCTAATACTCCAAACCTCTTTAAGCACTTTCAGTGATGAACCTCTCAAAATTAGCCGCATGATCTTTGCCTCTAACTTTGTTCTAATGCAACTATTTAACTTCTATTCTTTTTTTTATCGTTACCTGTTAATTAAAAACAAGCTTTTTAAAAAAACTGTACTGGGCCGGGTGCAGTGGCTCACGCCTATAATCCCAGCACTTTGGGAGGCCAAGGCAGGCAGATCACGCGGTCAGGAGATGAAGACCATGCTGGCTAACATGGTGAAACCCCGTCTGTACTGAAAATACAAAAAATTAGCCGGGCGTGGAGGCGGGCGCCTGTAGTCCCAGCTACTCAGGAGGCTGAGGCAGGAGAATGGCGTGAACCCGGGAAGCGGAGCTTGCAGTGAGCCGAGGTTGCGCCGCAGAACTCCAGCGTGGATGACAGAGCGAGACTCCGTCTTAAAAAAAAAAAAAAAAAAAAAAAATTAGCCGGGTGTGGTGGTGGGCGCCTGTAGTCCCAGCTACTCGGGAGGCTGAGGCTGGAGAATGGTGTGAACCTGGGAGGTGGAGCTTGCAGTGAGCTGAGATCACGCCACTGCACTCCAGCCTGGGTGACAGAGCGAGACTCTGTCTCAAAAACAAACAAACAAACAAACTATACTGAGGAAATGAAAAATTATGCATGACTTGGGAAGGAGGAAGAGCAATCTTATGTCTTAACAAATTCCAAGACTATTGCTGACAGTGATTTGAAAGTGCTGAGGAGTGATTGATTGGATGTGAAGTTAAGCCTTTCAAATGAAAGGTAGCTGAGTGGCTTCACTGATAAATTCCAGGAGGGTAACAGTTATGAAATACTCCATGCAGACCTGGCTGGTTTTGGGGCCTGGTGGCTTTTCTGAGAAGAATATGGGCAGGGATGTCCTGGGAAGCTAGATTTTTATGTGAAGTAAGCCAGAGTCCATCATAACTGAGGAGCCAATGAGATACTGATTAGCCTGCCAACATAATTGTGCCAACATAATTTTCAGGGTCTAGTGCAAAATAAAAATGTGAGCTTCTTGTTCAAAAATCATAGACCGGGCGCGGTGGCTCATGCCTATAATCCCAGCACTTTTGGAGGCCAAGGTGGGTGAATCACCTGAGGTCAGGAGTTCAAGACCAGCTTGACCAACGTGGTGAAATCCTGTCTCTACTAAAAATACCAAAATTAGCCGGGCATGGTGGCCTGCATCTGTAATCCCAGCTACTCAGGAGGCTGAGGCAGGAGAATCTCTTGAACCTGGGAGGCAGAGGTTACAGTGAGCTGAGATCGCACCATTGCACTCCAGCCTGGGCAACAGAGTGAGCCTCTGTCTCAAAAAAAAAAAAAAAAAAAAAAAAGATCATGAATTTCAAGATGGCAACATCATCAAATCAAGGCATTAAACCCAATGTGAACCCTTCTAAGTATGGGGCCAGTGCAGTTGCACAGGTCTCATTCGTGAAACTTGCTTGGAGTCATTCATCAGAGCTTCAGGCTTGATCTGGATTGGCATGTATAAAATTTGTGTACAAGTGATTGATAGAATGATGGAATTTTATTTGAGATAGTGAGTTTCATGTGCTGAGCAAGTGAATTACTCCTCTAGTAGGGAGGGAATCACAGAGCTAGATCCCACCCTTCTATTTTTTTTTTTGAAATGGAGTCTTACTCTATGACCCAGGTTGGAGTGCAGTGACCCAATCTCAGCTCACCTCAGTCTCAACCTCCCGGGTTCAAGCTATTCTCCTGCCTCAGCCTCCATGCGTACGCCACCACTCTAGGCTCATTTTTTGTGTTTTTAGTAGAGACGGGGTTTCACCATGTTGACCAGGCTGGTCTCGAACTCCTGACCTCAAGTCATCAGCCTGCCTCGGCCTCCCAAAGTGCTGGGTTTACAGGCTTGAACCACCATGCCTGGCCCCACCCTTCTATTTGTAAGTTCCCCTAGAATAGCTTTTCCCATGGTGTTCCACAGAAGTAGTGTTTCTGTGGAAGAAAAGAGTTCTATGATCAAGTAATCTGAGAAACAGGTTAAGCAAAATTAGGTAAGTTCCTCTTTGCCTGGCTTGCTAGATCCTTCCATATGCTATGTGTATTGTGAGCTGCCATGAGGGGGACTTATGGGGCCATAAAACCCTTCTTGTGCAGAGACTCTTCTGGGACTACAGTGCAGAGTGTATCTCAAGAAATGCTGCCCTGGAATCATCTTGATATTAAAGTGCAGTGCCTACTCATGGAAATGCATCCATTCCCCTCTCCCTCCCTTATGTGACTCCCAGTGTCCTTAGTGCAGCACAGTTGAGAACGTGGAACAGAACTGGGGTATGAGAAGCCTAGTGCCACATTGCACAGTGTGGTGTGGTGGTGGAAATGGAGTTGCTTGCTTGGGTAGAATAGTAATTTCTTGAAGACCAACTCTTTCTTGCACCCTCTACACTGAATTCTAAGCAGAATATATCTGTGATAAGGCTAATATAGCATATTAATAAGTACTCAGAACCCATAGTGAGCTCCCTTCTGCTGCCTGCTTAGAATGAAGAAAGGTTTCAGTTAATATTTAACGCTCTCAGTGCATTCTGTGATTTTGACTGATATTGAAGTACAGCAGTCCTGACTGATTTCTTAGTTTCTGATAGTCTATATTATCTTTTTCTCTGATTATGATGACTATTCCCATAATCAGACTGTGGGGTAAGTGGGGACATCCCCTCTTACAGATGAGGAATTTGGAACTCAAACAGGACAAGGAACTTTCCCAGGATAGTACTACTAATAAATGTTGAAGCTGCGGTTTGATGCTGTGTAGGTCTGATCTTTCAGTCTAGGTGCTTTCTACTCTGCAGCTTCCACTTTGGGTGCCCTCTAAAGTGCCTTTGGGGTGACGACGTTCCACTGATCTTTGTGTCTTTTCTTTCCTAGGGATGCTGTGAAGAAGTGTTTTGCAGTGTGTCTTGCATAATTCATGGCCAGTTTTGCGAAGCTTTGGAAGGCGCTATGGACAGAAGCTGGTGGACAGTTTTGTAACTATCTTTGAAATCTCTGTCTTACAGACATGTGCCTTTTATCTTGCAGCAATGTGTTGCTTGTGATTCGAACATTTGAGTGTTACTTTTGGAAGCAACAATACATTCTCGAACCTGAATGTCAGTAGCACAGGATGAGAAGTGGATTCTATATCTTGTGGAATGGAATCTTCCTCACGTACCTGTTTCCTCTCTGGATGTTGTCCCACTGAATTCCCATGAATACAAACCTGTTCAGCAGCAGCAGATAACCCTTGGGTGCAAGTGATTCCCAGGTGGCAAAGGGCAGCCCCATCAGAGATCACAGGGGAGCAACAGTAAGGGACAGAGATTTGGGGTCCAGTTGTCCCTCAGCATGGAAGCCATCACCACTGTCCTGCATAGAGTGAGTCTGCTTCTCCTCTGGCATCTAAGAACAAGTGACTCTGCTTTACACAAGCCCCTGAAGAGCCTGGCCATGGAGTGAGGTAGAAAAGAAGCACTTTTTGGTGGTATATGCTGTTTCGGAATTTGAATCTAAGCATTCTTGGTGTTCTGATTCTACGCCTCACTGTGGAATGTATTTTCTGACATTAGGTGAAGGCTCTTTTTCTCTTGGGTTTTATTTCCCATCCCTCCCTCCCTCTCCCTACATATCTTTCTTTATGACCTCCTGGCACTAGATGGAGAAAGAACAGAGCAGCATCAGAAAACACTGCTATTTCTTTTTGGACAAGAGCCCATAAGAGGTGAAAAATCCTGCTGTTCTCAGCTATATATTTTTTCTTCATTATTTATAAATGTTTGCTTTTAAACTGATTTTATTTTCCGTTCTCCCCTGGCGTTGGGCCAGGGGAGAGTGGGGTGGGAAGACAGATCCCTGCTGTGCGGCCAACAGGAAGTAGGCATGCCTGCCCAGTGACCTTTAAATAGTCCCGGTGTTTGCACTCAGCCTGTGCTGGGGACACTGGGGAGGATCCCATAAACTGCAGGTGGTCTCTTATCAGCCTGATGCCTAACCTACAAAGTGCTTTTGTGTCCATGATCTTACCTGGTTCTTATGGACAGCCTTGTAAGGAAGCAGGGATTGTTATCCCACTGTTCAGTCAAGGGAATCAAGGCCCACATTGGTTTTTGGGTCCTCCCAAACCCACAGCTTCAGCCTCCTTCATGACCCAGAGTTTTCTGGCCTGTTTCTGGTTGTGCCTCCTGTAACTGCCTATGACTGTTTTCCCCATTTTCATCAGCCAAGCCATCTCCTACCTGGCTGTCCCTGCCCATCTCTTTTGGAAGCTTCTTCCTGGATCTGTAGGATGTTCACTGTCCCTTGTGTTCCCTGTCAGCTCCTCCTTATTGCCTGACCACCATTAGCACCCTGTCTTGTCAGCCAGTGTTCTTGGCCCTCCAGGACCTCCAGAGTCATCCTACAAATTACATTTATCTGGATTGCCTTTCTGCTCTTTGCACAGGGCCAACTGGTCCACTGGGACTCCTCCTTTGCCACCACTAAACCAAAGGAAGTGACCTGATGGTTGTCTCCTTGCTTGTGGCTACTTGCTGAACCTTTCTTTGTCCTACTGTGGCTGAGAACTCAGACTGACTGGTCTTTTATCTTTTCTTTTTGAGATGGAGTCTCACTCTCTCACCCAGGCTGGAGTGCAGTGGCGTGATCTCGGCTCACTGCAACCTCTGCCTCCTGGGTTCAAGCAACTCTCCTGCCTCAGCCTCCCAAGTTGCTGGGATTACAGGTGCCCGCCACCATGCCTGTGCTAATTTTTGTGTTTTTAGTGGAGACAGGGTTTCACCATGTTGGCCAAGCTGGTCTGAAACGCCTGACCTCAGGTGATCCACCCGCCTCGACCTCCCAAAGTGCTGGGATTACAGGTGTGAGCCACTGTGCCCTGCCGGTCTTGTCTTCTGAGGCTGGGGAGCTGTGAATAAGCCTGACGGGGCCAGAGAGAGGAGCTAGTCTTCCCAGGTTCTTTCTAGGCTATTGACAGCATCCAGTCATCTGCTCAGATCCCTAAACTGTCCTCAGCCAGGAAGGGAAATTTTATGCTACCCCTTTGGCTTCTGTGGGATTCTTTCACATCCCAGGTGCCTCTTGGAGACAGATCTCAGAAGGGCTGTGGTGTCAGAAGGGGCATGGAGGAGGTCAGGAGTGCTCATGGTTCCTTTTCTTTAGAACTGATACGAGGCTTGGCTAATCACTGTGAGCTCCAGCAGCTCCAGCAACCTGGAATAAGACACCTAGAAGGCTCACCCCTCCATGTCCATGTCCTTTTTTTTTTTTTTTTTTTTTGAGATTGAACAACTATTCTTTATTTAAAAAATAATCTCAGCAAACTAGGGATACAAGAGAATTTCCTCAACCTATTGAAGGGCATCTTTAAAATATCTTCTGCTAACATCCTTTGTAATGATGAAAGGCTGAATGTTTTCCCCTAAGATTGAGAATAAGACAGAGAGGTCAACTCTTACCACTTATATTCAACATTGTACTGGAAATTCTAGCCGCTGCAATCATGTTTTAATTGGGAGTTGGGGGAAAGAGGGAGGGAAGGAGAAAAATAAAAGGCCTTTAGATTGAAAATAAATAAGTAAAACGGTCTATTCACAGATATAATCATCTATGTAGAAAACCAAATAAAATCCATTACCAGGTTACTGAAACCAGCAAGTGAGTTTTGCAACACTGCAGGATATATAATCGATACACAGAAATCAATTATGTTTCTCTGTTAGAAGAATTAGGAATTGAAAATTTAAAAATAATACTATTTACAATAGCATTAAAATATAAAATTCTTGGGAATAAACCTGACAAACTGTGTGGAATATCTGTACACTGATAACTAAAAAGCATTGCTAAGAAAAATTAAAGAAGACTTAAGTAAGTATCTTGTTCATAGGTTGAGAGACTCAACATTGTTGATGTTAATTCTTTCCCATATTAATCTATAGATATAGTGCAGTCCCCATCCAAAGCCAAGCAGGCATTTTTGTTTGTTTGTTTGTTTTGTTTTTTGTAGAAATTAAAAACTGGTTATAAGAGTCACGTGCATGCAGATAATCTAGAAGATCCACAGTAACTCTCCTGCTGTGTAGCTGGTTCCTGACAGGTCATGGACCTGTCCGTGGCCTGCAGGTTGGGGACCTCTGCTGTAGAGGATCCAGATTTAAATTCAGAAGAAGCTTCATCTGTTTCTGTAGTTTCATTTTCTTTCAACAACTGCTGCATTGAACTTCGCAGGATTTTCTGAAGCTGCTCAATTTGGCCATCTTGCTTTTTAACTATTTCTTAACATGGAATTTTCTGTTTTGAGCTTTTGTATGTGGCCTTGCGTCTCCTTAGTACATCTTATAGTTGCTGTAAGTTGATACTGTTTTTCTTGAAATTGAATTCTCGTCTGGCCTAATTTCTTCCTTGAATCTTGCATCTCACTTTCTCAACGGATGCAGTGACGCAATGAAGCATCCAGCAAAGCTTTTGTTGTTGATTGTTTAGGACATCACCCTGTTTTTGTTGAAGTTGTCTCACAGCTACTTCTCTTTCTGCTTTCTGTCTTTCATATTGACATTGTTTTTCTTTCAAATGATTAACTTTATTGATCATCCTCTTATTCTTCTAGCAAAAGACGATACTTTATGCACTCAGCCTGAAGATTTTGTACTGTAGCATTACAGTTGGCTTGAATATCAATTACTGTTTTTTCTTGATTGTCAGCTTTGTTGTGAACATCATCCAGTTGCTGTTGAAGCAACATAGTTTGTCTTTGTAGTTGACATAATCTTACTTGCTTTTCTTTGCATTTTTCTACTTTATCTTGGCCATTTGTGTACATTTTTTCAGTGTCCTTCATTTGACACTGTTTGGTTTAGCTCTCTTTGTATGTGTTCAAAAACCAAAGCCTTTTCTTTCAGAGCCTCTCGTGTAACGGAGCTCAGTTTTGAGGCCCCTGAACTTACTCTTAGCTTTAGAAAGTTGTTGAGAAAGAATCAGAACATGAGAATTCAAATTTTCCTGTAAATGACACAATTTCTCTACCGTGCCCTGGAAATCAAGCTCTTGGTCTCTTCTGTTGAGTGACTTTGATTATGATCACGTAGAGCAGCATTCAGTCTACGATGGTATGATTCCATTTCGTCAGTCTTTTCTTGCTTTGTTTTTCCTTCTCCAGTTTGGAACAGAGCGTTGTGTTCTCATCTGTCAGAGCAGTAAGCTGTCCACTATAATGGGCTATAGCTTTTGTTGATGTTTCCCCATTCTGTTTTAGAGCCTTTTGAGGTCTTCATGCTTTCTTTTTATAATTTCAATGTCTTTTAGGTATTTCTTTTCCAGGATTTGATTTTTTATTGTGTCTATTTCCAGCCTGAGCCTGGCAATTTCATTTTACATCAAGTGGTTTTTATGCAACAGGTCTTCTTTTTCATGACTATCAGAAATCTCAAACTGCAGAGTTCTTGCTCCCATTCAAGTTTTTGATACTCTGTGATATTATTTCTTCTTTTTCAGATAGTCTTGTAGTACACTAGTCTTTTTCATTTTTTGAATTTTTACTGTAAGTCACTCACAGTGATTATCTTTAAGTTCTGTTGATCTTTTACATAAACTGCATTTTAAATTTTAGTCTTTTTTTATACGAGATTCTGGAAATTATTTTTTATTATACTTTAAGTTCTGGGGTACATGTGCAGAACATGCGGGTTTGTTACATAGGTATACATGTAATGCTATCCCTCCCCTAGCCCCCTATCCCCCAACAGGCCCCGGTGTGTGATGTTCCCCTCCTTTTTCCATGTGTTCTCGTTGTTCAACTCCCACTTATGAGTGAGAACATGTGGTGTTTGGTTTTCTGTTCTTGCGATAGTTTGCTGAGAATGATGGTTTCCAGCTTCATCCATGTCCCTACAAAGGACATGAACTCGTCCTTTTTTATGGCTGCATACTATTCCATGGTGTATATATGCCACATTTTCTTTATCCAGTCTATCATTGATGGACATTTGGGTTGGTTCCAAGTCTTTGCTGTTGTGAACAGTGCTGCAGTTTGCATGTGTCATAGTAGAATGATTTATAACCCTTTGGGTAAATACCCAGTAATGGGATCTCTGGGTCAAATGGTATTTCTAGTTCTAGATCCTTGAGGAATCACCACATTGTCTTCCGCAATGGTTGAACTAATTTACACTCCCACCAACAGTGTAAAAGCATTCCTATTTCTTCACATCCTCTCCAGCATCTGTTGTTTCCTGACTTTTTAATGATTGCCTTTCTAACTGGCATGAGATGGTATCTCATTGTGGTTTTGATTTGCATTTCCCTAATGACCAGTGATGATCATTTTTTCATATGTTTGTTGGTTGCATAAATGTCTTCTTTTGAGAAGTGTCTTTCATATCCTTTGCCCACTTTTTGATGGGGTTTTTTTTTTTTTTTTTCTTATAAATTTGTTTAAGTTCTATGTAGATTCTAGAGATTAGCCCTTTGTCAGATGGATAGATTGCAAAAATTTTCTCCCATTCTGTAGGTTGCCTGTTCACTCTGATGATAGTTTCATTTGTTGTACAGAAGCTCTTTAGTTTAATGAGATCCCATT